GTGTGTGTGTGTGTGTGTGTGTGTGTGTGTGTGTGTGTGTGTGTGTGTGTGTGTGTGTGTCTTTGCTGATTAGCTCAGACCTCCTCAAACACTGCAAGCCAACCTTAGTGTTTAGGTGAGAGAGAATTCAAAGCGATCAGATTAAATAAATAAAAATTGCTGTTTAAAGTAAGTGATTATGTAGCCAAATACAAAATTTTAGTTAGGAATACTTTTCTTATCACGTTTCCATGTGTTGCTGGTTTTTGTTTGTACTCCTACTTTTTACTTCACTACCATTTGAAGACTATAATTACAAACGTACCATTTTTATGCCGTTTATGTTAAAAATAGGAAACATATTATTATTGATGTCTGAGCTGTGAGTAGTAACTTCTCACATAGTGCTAAAAAAAAGTGGATGTAACAGATCAAATTTATCCCTCAAACTCACAGAGTTTAAATGATAAATGTAGCTTCAAAACATGTCCATTTGTAGTGAAGTCTATAAATATAAACAGTCATTGGCTTCTGTTACCCATGACTTTAATGAGCACTTTCCTGAATGCAAGCTCAAAGGCTGACTGAAAACAACATGCTGTTCGTTTTGTACATTGTAGTCCTGATTGTCATCACAAGGAAGTTAGAGCTGGAGGTAAGTGATAAGTCGCCAACATAAGTGCACCATGCATGCCAGATTCACGCCTCACTTGTGACATCTAGTTTTAAACAGCAATGACAATGAGAGGAAAAATACTGGGCTCTAGGTTTCAAAACCAGACTTTGCAGAACATGGTAGCTATGCCGATCTTTGATATAAAGTATATTAGCAAACCCCTGTCCCCAGTATGGATGATAATAAACAGCTGCTTCTTCTCAAAAATCTAATAATGCCATACTTAATGACTCATTGTTTTCTACAGCACTGCTGTTATTGGTTATGCTGTAAGAACATTTTTAATCTAATATGTTAGTCACCACGAATTAAGTGAGATTTTAAATGTGTGTCACTTTAACGTAAACCACTAATCTGCGTATTTCCATCACTGTCTACTCAAGAACATGGAAGGAGATGCTGTTTAAACAAAAACATTAATTACTAAACACTTAAGATAATAATGTTTGTATATACCATTAAAGTCACAGTTTGATGTTCACATGTTAGTGTTCCGGTGTGCTCACATACAAAGCTGGTGTAATATTTCATTTTGCTTCTAAAAGGATTTCCGTGTAAGAACCCCAAGAGAAACCATAGACTCTTTTCTGTGTTAAGAATATTTGCACAGGCATCCACTGAAGTAATATGATGCTTCAGCAGAATGAAATTTAATATTACCTACAGTTAGTGTTTGCTTGTGTTTCTCCACTGAGCTGCAAAAAGGGAGATATTGAATAGTAAAATAATTCTGGCTTACGCATTTGTCTAACTCAGACTGCTCTTCACTACATGTCTGGTTTTTCCATTTGAATAACTATTTGCAAAAAATTACTGATGCTTTCCTCCCAAAACCTACTTTCTTTGAGACAGGGTCTTCTTGTGGCTTGTTTAAAAGGAATGAATACATAAAGTGGTTTTAGCTGTCATATGGGAGGGTTGCACCTAAAAAATACAAACCTGTTGAGAATTAGCTGAATAACCTCTCAAAAGCAGATTTACTTTGTATTATTATTACTGCCCCCATAAGCAGCAATTTAAAGATTCTGCACATTAACACCATTGTTGCGTGGACATGACATCACTCTTACTCAACCGAGTTTATTTGCAAGTCATTCTTCTTCTTTAATGCCATGTTGTAATTTATAATCCAGTTAAACTTTGTTTTTCTTAACAATTTACTTATTATTCCTTTGTGATAATGTGCTTAGTTTCAACAGTGGTTTCTCAGCTTAGATATCATGAAACCCAAATAATTCATAACACCTGTGTGGGTGTGCCGGGCTTTCACAATATAACCGACAGAGCTGGAGGTCATTTTTTAACTGCTGAACACTGTTTATCATTACCATCACGTTTTTTCCCCTTATTATTATATTATTAAATGGCAATCGCCAAAGTACAGTCACTTGAAAAAGAAGGTACACCTGTTTTATTTCTTACATTAGGTAAAACCTTAGAGGAACTACGACATATGACATACTAAACTGTCTTATTTAACAAAGACTAAGCTAAAATACAAAAGCAGTTAGTAAAAGCCTCAGTAAAGCCTTACTGCTTCCATTAGAATTAAGAGGGTAAGTAGCAGCCAGTTGCTGATAATCACATTCACATGATTAACTGACGATCAGCAAGTGTGAGCACCTCCATAAAAGCAGAAATGTTGGCAGTTTGCTGGTGTGGGACATTCAGATGTCTGTAAACACAGTGCTGAGGGGGAAAGGTTTTAGCAGTGAGCATAAACAAACATCTGTTACTTCCCATCAATCCAAGAAGGTAATTTCCAAACAATTTGACCTCCGTCATTCTGCACTGAGAGAGATTATTCGCAAGTGGAAAAGAATCAAATCACATGACTCTCTTCCCAGGTTTGGACGTAAAAGCAAATTTAACCCAAGATCAGATCATGCAACAATCAGAGAAACTGAAAAAAGCTCAGGAGCTATATCTCAGAATCTGCAGGACTCACTTGCTAAATGTTAAAGACAGTACAATCAGAAAAAGACTGAACAAGTATGAGTTGTTTGGAGAGGCTGTCAGAAGAAAGCGTTTTCTCTCTCTAAAGAACATGACAGCACAGCTTTGGTGTGCATAGTTGCATCAGAATAAACTACAAGGTTTCTGTAAAATGTCCTTTGGGTAGAAATAACCAAAATGCAGATGAAAATGCACCACAAAGAGCTCATACCAAGTAGGGATGGTAATTAATAAGAATTTAGCAATTTCAATTCTATTATCAATATCACTTATCGATTCTCATTGGGTTTGCATTGCCTCCACTTTGAAAGCCACCACCATCGCTAAGGAGCATGTCAGACATTACATTCATGCAAATTAACTGCATGTACAAAGTAATGCATTGCACATACTACACAGAACAGTTTTCTTAAAAGTACTGGAGTAATTAATTACTCCCAGGAGAAAGTAACTACTCTTTACATTAATTGACAATGTATTGTCTCATTATTACCATTAAACAATATAAACATATAAGCTACAATCCCACTGGTCAACACAAATTCCTATCCTAATGAGGTACACATATGATCTTTCTCTTAGTATTTAGGGATGAAGCCAACAGCACAAAGCAAAGATGGAAACCAGCACAAAGAGGCTTCTAGGCGCTCACCACAGTGATTCTGCTTTAGAAACATGAACAGGTAGAAAAAGCGGCTGCAGCCTGACTGCTTATCAATTTGTTACCTGTTGAGGTTCAGGGTCTGGCTGCTGGGCAGGGGTTGGCATTCACTCAGGTTTGGCATTACTTTGGCTTCTTGGATGGCTTAACATTAGCATGCTGTCTGTGCAGGTGCTTGCAAAGAGCTGAAGTTGTGTTAGCAACATAAAGTGATTGTTTCTGTCCTGGATGCAGTTTGCACTTAACCACCCCACTCTCTTCCTTTTGTGCAATAAAAATAAAAGTAATAAAAGTGTCCATATCCACTCTGCAGACTGCCACAAGAACTGAAATCAGCTGTGCGCAGGTGCAAGTGGAACCGATAAGCGGGATCAATGACAGACTAACAATTCCAAGTAATTGAACTACTGCTGGCCCAGAGTAGTGCAGGCCTTAAAATTCACTAAGTAGCTACATATGGAGCAATCATATTTTTGTATTTTATGACAGTCCCAGATGTAAATCATGACCCAGGGAACTCCATAAACACTATATTTAAGTTCAAACTGAGATCTTTTTTTTTCATGAACACAAATCAGTGCATTAAATTATCCATTTCACAATTTGAAGTGACACTACATTGCATTCACTACATACTGCTGAATAGCAACATCAACAACTTCTCTGAACAAATAAATAACCTGGTGAAGTTAGTCCACTTTTGTTTCCTACTGCACAGACAAGATAAACAAATAAAAAATAAATAAAATGTTTTCATATGGATGACCGCATGGACTCTGTTTTTATAGTTCATGCATAGAAAAAACACAAGGTGAAACAATCCCCCAAATAATTCCTATTTTGATTACTTGACAGCTATGTGTTAAGTGTTAACATTGCACAGGTTTTATTAAGCTTTTACATAATACTTTGCACTAATATGAGTATTTTATGATTTCTTATGCAAATCCTGGCTTGAAAATAATATTAGCACACTTGTTGTACCTTGACCCGAAAAGGCTCCCAAAATATTGTCAGAGAAATATGAAATATAGACATTTCACACAGAAAAGGGTTTGCAGCAACATAGACAACAAAGTGATATTATGAACATCGATAACAATTGCAGAAAACAAACATATATTCCCAAACTGTACTTACCTGAAGCACCATATCGCTGCTTTTAAACATGCACTTAATTTATTTAGAATCTGTGAATCTCAACCAAAATTCAGAAAACTCTTTGTGTAATTGTGTTTGCTTTAACTGCAAAGTGACTGTAATTAAAAATAAAACCTCTTTCTGCTGGAGGAGTGTTTTGTGTAATTTTAGCCTGTTTGAACAATGTGGATCTGTCAAAACCATAGAAACAGGTGTTTGTGAAAGGGCATTCAATGAAAGCTTGTTATTAGCAGAACAGTGGTAACCCACAACAATAAAAGTACTACTTTATATCTAATCTTTCCCAACTAATCTTGCTTTTAATTTATCGTCGCTAAATGGCCCGTCCTCTGAT